GCTACCTTTTAAAATCACTTTTTAAAATAACAGTTACTAGTGCACGAAAAACTGTATTTCTTACATCTGATATTTCGGGGAAGTTTTCTTTTCCACTCGAAAACTAGTTGTTTGAACTAGTTGAAGAAAACTAGTTGTTTGAACTCGTGATCTGAACTGCATTGGAAACTGAAGTTTTGCTAGAAATTTACAAGTGTTAAACGTTGAGTTGGGTTTACTTATTTTTATAAATAAATCCTAGCAAGTAGTTGCTTTAACTCACTAGAAATGCTTTTGTTTGTCAAAATATAACTTTAATTTTTCATATAAAAATACTACGATTTGCATTACTGTGAGTTTCTTTGATGGATAGGTAAGCAGTTTGTGTTTAGTGACATTAAAGCATTAAATTATACTTGAAAGCGTTTGCTGTCATAGTTTTTCATAAATATTTAAGTACTTTCATACTTAACTCGTAAACAACACTAGCTCATATTCGTTTTGCAAAAAAAAAAAAATACAATAAATGTAAAATTCTGACTAAAAATATAAGATATAATACTGATATATCTCTGTGGTATAAGATATTATTTCATTAAATGAATTACCCAGTTTTAGATAAACAGTGTGCCATAATCTACTGTTAGAATGAAAAAGAAATCTTAAATGGATAAAGTGATGTGATTATAAGAAAAGCATGCAGTGACTTAGACATTAACTGAGATAATGCTATTGATCATAACATAATTATCTTACTTAATCTTCTGTTTGTTAACCAGTTTTGAAAGTATGAGAATTTTTTTCAGCGAATGTATTACAGAATTAGTTCATGTTTTCATTTTTGTTAACTTTATTTTTCCGTTAAAAGTGCACAGTACATAATTTGTTTTTTCACTTCACATTTCTTTTACAGTTCTTTCTAAAGAGTTTGTTATGCTTCAAAATCCCCAACTGTATGTTTTGGAATTTCGTGATCTGAACTGTTCGCGACTGCAAACAACTGCATTGCTAAATAATAAAACTCATTAGCAAAAATATACCTAACATTATTGGAATTATGCTTATGCATTTATTATAATTATTAGTGACTAGAACTTTCAAAATAATTTTCATTTCATTTTAAAACTATTTTCATTGCTTAAAACTGACTTTTAGAGATGGTACAAAATACTCGCCAGTCTAACAAAGTTACTATTGTTATGTATTCATACTATAGCTGGAGTAGTAGGCTATTACTGCATGTATTATCAACCTCAGACCGACAGAAACAAATTTAATGAGACTGTAAAATACATTCTAATTAAATAAAATCAGCAAAATGAATTTCGTAAGCAATGAAATTTAAAACCATGCAGAGCTATTTTCTGAAAATGCGTCTGGTAACTAGTGAAACACTTTGAAGAGTTAGAACTGCAGAACACTAAAGTGGCAACACGAAGCTGCATACGAACTTGACAAAAAACATTCTTGCATAAGAAAGAGTAGGTGTTGAATTTTATGTAACAACCTTTGTATTTTATTATAAATGAACGTAGACCATTATATACTTCTAATATAAAATATCCGAAATAGTGTTATCTAAAGCAGTTACTTTGCACCGATCGTCATTATCTAAAGCAGTCTTTTAGTTACTGTATCAAAAATAGTTATAAATGACTTTGCATTAAGCTTCTTTCAGACAAAGAAATTAATTTGTTCTTGGAGATCCAGTATTTAAAAGTTCTTCCGCAAAATTTTAATTTACATATCGAACAGATCAACAAATTTCAGTGCAATCCTTTTTATTTTTCATGAAGACAAATAAAACAAACTGCACAACAAGGAATTAATTTATGACCTTATAAATCGTAGAGATAATTAATATAATCAAGCAAAGTATATTTTATTTAATTTGAATGTAATTACGTCAGAAAAATACTAGGAAACACATAACCAGAGACAATGTCTGAATATGGAACAATGCAAAATTGTTTTGTAAACTGATTATTAGAAATATTTTTTCCATGGATTTGAGCTCCTCCTTCCTGATTGCTGAAAACGAATTAGTAATGGTTATTTTCTAAAAGCTATGATCAAATTTCTCATATGTGAGTATAACAATAAGAAAATTTCTGATTATGGGGACATAAAAATAGAAAATAAAATAAAATAGCCTTTATTTACCATCGAAACTTTAAATACTGTTGCCAAGTAACTGAAATTTTATGGTTTTCGACCTTGATTTCACTAAAGATTTGCTTACATTTTCCCCTTATTTCAATTATTAAAATATTATGATAATATGCATTGAAAGAAATGATAGCATTTGGCTTACTATACTGAAGTTGTTAAGAAACTTCCTTTTTAAACTTCGCGCAAATTATTTTAAAAATTTTGTATGTTGACTATAATATTCAAGTATTTGAAACAGCACTTCACTTAAAAATCTCTTAAAGAATTATTAAAAATAAGTCTATTAAATTCGGTAAAATTATTTAACTATTTCAAGACTTCAATGAAAAGCTCAACCGATTAGTTATTATGATTGTTATTACTTTTCACTATGTGAATAACATCATGAAAAATTTTAAAACAGTTTTTTAATTCCCAGCAACATCCTATTAATTAAGAACACGACTCTTCCGTAGAAACAGATCCAGCTTAAAAAATGAATTAATTATGCTTATCTTTAGTTTCTTTATTTATTTTATACGATCTTGTAACTGAAGAAATGATGAAATTTCGATAATGTGATAATTATCTTATCATTTCTCTATCTCTCTAGAATATATATATATATATAGTGTGTGTGTGTGTATGATGGTGTGTATGTGTGTATGAGATACTTGGAGAATCACATGGGAATTTGTAGTTGAGAGATGGCAGCAATTAAGCGCTTGTAACGGTTTAAAACATCCAGACTTGTCAGCCTTCTCTTTCCCAATAAAACCAGCATGGGTTTTAAACAATGAAAACAAACTTCATGTCTGTTACTAGTCCAATCAGTGGTTGTTTTCTTTTGTACCCTTAATCAATATTATTGTTATGAATAGCTTCATATAAGGCTCGGAGATACCATCAAAGAATCTGAAATGAGTAAGGAGTATTAAACTTATCAGCAATCCAAATCAAAATATAATATAGTGCTAACATGTCTGCTTGATATACAGAGTTCAAAAAGTCCAACTGATACTTTTTTAATTTAATCGCAAGATCAAAGTAAAACATAAAAATTGCAAAACCAATTTTTCCCTCCAGGCCAGATCCATCGGTATAGATAGCAAATTCTTTGTCACGATATATATGTCTGTCAAAAGAAATACTAATCTTACCTGCTCGATGTATACAGTAGCGACATCAAAAATCCAGTAAATGAAGAGTTACGCATTAAGAAGTATTTAATAATTCAAAATATTATAAATATTTATCAATATATATACACATACGTAAAATGCATATATACTCTGTATATCCTTTAAAATTCAAATTCTAAATCCATGTTTAGGAAACCAAGCAATTCCTTTACTTTTTCCTCCCTGTTGGAGCAAATTCAGACATAGTAGGTGACTTTATTTTTTTTTGGAGGAGGGGGAATACAATGACCTAAATTCTTATGCATACAAATTTATTTAGTAATGCACTCAGTATAACCAGGAAAAAAAAAAATGTAGAGATTTTAGAGAAAAATATGTCTTCGTACAACTAATGTATACAAAAAAAAAAAAAAAAAAAAAAATGTAACGTTACAAATTTCTTTTATCAAAATCAAGGAAAGAAGACAGTTTTCAAAAGGAAGGTAGGTATTACTTTTGAACTGTGATTAATTTATATAAATCCTGTATTACTGATTTTAAAGCAGGCCCCTAAATTTCAATAGATAAAAATTTTTCATATCTTTTGCCATTATCATAATTTCAAACATGTTAATCTGACAAAATTTTAAAAATTTTAAATCTGACAAAATTTTAAATGCTAAAATCTGACAAAATTTTAAATGCTAAAATCTGACAAAATTTTAAATGCTAAAAGTATGTTTAGCTGCATTCTAGTGATTAGAATCCTCACTTAATATATCTATCAAATGTGGAGTAATATATGCACACATCAAAGCTTCCCTATCTAAATTAGTCTTTATTTTTGAAAAAAAGAAATAATGTGATTATATTATTTATTATTTATGATTATATTACTTTTAGATACCGCAAATTAAATTCCAACAATTAATTAATTTAAATTTTTATATTAAATACTTTTTTATGTTTCTTAAAACTGGAGTTACCGACATAGCATCAAATATGAGGAGTATTATGGAAGTAAGGCAATGATGTATAAAATATACTTAGAAAATTCCTGTAATGATTAAATAACATAATTTTAGACTGGAAGTACATATTCTATGACTTAAATTCAATATTTCCGATGAAAATTATATACAATTTGCATTGGTAGATATTCACATCTTGCTTATCTTGATAAAGGAATAAACTGAAAAGTACTTTTTTATTTGACTTTACTCCCTCTTATTCCTTCTTCAAAATTTAACATAGCATTAATAAATTATGAATATATAGTAACAAATTGCTATTACTGAAAAGTTACTTGTGGAGGTACTTTCATTTCTTAAAAGTAAATCTAACCTTTAAAGTAATTACTTTGCAACGAGGAAATAGTAGCCAGCTTCTGATTTTAAGAACAACACCAAGCACAAAACATATGAAAGATGGCTCACTATAATACGCATTTTTCAGGTAATATAAATTTAATAGCTTTCTAAGCTTATCTTTTACAGACACAGACTTCATGTAAGATAGATGAAGGCCAACCGGTTAAGTTCATCATAATCATTCCAAAAAAGACCGGCATAGATAAGAAAATATACTTTCCTATGAAACAATATAATGGATAAAAGAAGGATAAAAATACACGAAAATGAAAGCCGTGACTTCACACTTTATAAGGTCTGCACATTTCGAACAGCTATCTTAATAAGGTATGCAGATCCTTTAAACACAAGCTGCCGAGGGACAAAGTTCATTGAAAGCAGCCCGCTGCGATAACATCTACGTGAATAACCAATAAAATGCAAATAGATCTTCTCATTCACAAGAAACTTCCATGGTAACGGAAAACCAAAAGTAACTTATACATTAAAGGAGGTCTTCCTTCCCCTTCCGAAAAAAAGTAAGTGGGTTCACTTCTATTTTTATTTTTATTTATTCATTTATTTTTGTGTGCGTGTACAAGAAATTGCAGGGGAGCAGGGGTTTACCTTCGGTAACCACGAAAAAATGACAGTTTAATATAAACACCATATAAAGATGAAATTTTGATATTTCCAATATATATACATATATTTTACATTTATTAGATTCTTTAAAATTTATTAATTATGAATTTCAAAATTTTCGTCTTTGTAAAACATTAGTTCTAAATTTCTTACTATATATATATATATGTGTGTGTGTGTGTGTGTGTGTGTGTGTATGTGTGTGTGATGAAGCAGAGTTAGATGTAATGATGTAGGAGTGTTGATGCCGTAAATGCAGAAATATTGCCTTTGGTAGATGTTGATCCCTAATTGACAGCAAACTTGGCAGCCAAGGCAGATTAAATATTCATTTTTATTTCAATGAACATTTTGCGGGCACAAACAAATTGGCACACTAATCTTGGCTTTCCAAACACATTTAAATATTTCGATACTGTTGCGATAGGAAGAAAGCAGCGACTAAGCATCTTAGACTAGAGGTAGAAGCAAAATGCATAGTTATCCAATATGGCCGCTTATTATGACAAAAGTTAGTTTCGGTTCAGGATATTTTAAGTTGCGAATTAGCTATGTCATCATCGTTATGTTAAAGTCATTTGATATGGGTTAGTCTCGAAATGACGCAATTCAGAAAAAGTTATTATTATTTTTATAAGAGAGGTGGGAAATACCAAAGTTAAAATAAAGAATTAAATTGCTAATTTAAGTTAAAATGTTGATTTTTTTTGTCTTACATATTTACAAACAAAAGTTTAGAAATTTAAATTAGAGTTTCAAAGTCTCGCGGTGTGCAGGGAATTTAATTAAATAACCAAGAGATAACAATTAAATTACAAATTAAATAAAGGAAGTGGTTAATAATCTAACAGAAAATACGCGTATCAGAACTGTAACAAAAAACAAATAAACAAAGTAACATAATATATTTACGTAATTAATAAAACAAAATTAATATAAAAATGCTGTTGAAAATTCCTTGCTGTTTTTAAGGAATAGCCGAAGGATTTTCAACAGAGTCACCTTTCTGAATTACATTTAGATGATCGTGAATTTTGTAATAATTCAAAAGAAATAATTAAAAGAATTCGCTAAATAAAAATTAATTTAATTAAAATTATTAAATTAAAATCCTTTAAAAGAGCAATAAAATAAAAATTTATAATTTTAATTAATCATCAAGATATAATCGTCTCCGATGTGACCCAAAACAAAAATTGCTGCGAAAATAAATACATACTTGTATTATAAAAAGAATTCTCGAGTAAGAAACCCCACTAACCATTGGGTAAATCCAAAGCAGTGTGCTAAATAAATTTCGAACTCTCTCTCTCTCTATATATATAAAATTGTATACATACAAACACTGTTACCATGAGTTACTTTGCAAAAAAGTTAACATTTGCTGCAAAAAAGTGGCTGTAATTTTTATCAACATTAACTTAGAAATTCATTTTTAAAATCACGTAAATGATTGTTTAAGACTGTAAGGAACATAACATTATCCTAAGAACAACTATATATATTAATTATTGCTTTCTGATGCAAAATATAGAATGAGGATAACTTGCTTAGAATATGTATGCTACATATATATATATATATATAATCAATAAAATATTTAATACAAACGTGCATATATAAATGTACATGTGTCAATGTGTATGATGTAAATGTATTATATATATAAAAGTAAATGTGATGTGTGTATCATCAGGTACACATACAAGTGTGTATATTACCGTTCTTACCTTAAATTTTGATATTAAATTTCTCGGATAGAGAAATAAAAAGCAATTAGGTAATAATAAGAAAGGAATCTGGATTTGCGTAACGATCTTCACCACGCTTCTTCTAAACAACAAAGGAATGATGCGCAGTATGACGGACAAGTGTTTTGTGATTCTCCATAGAGGCGTATAAAACTATCTTCTGGAATGTAAACAATACTGAGGCCTCATTAGTTGAATGTTCGATCCGAACATGCAAGTAATGAGACGTATGTAGTAGGAACTTCTTCTGTGAAGTTGTCTTTGCCATTAGACTGAAAAAATACATCAGTTAATAATTAAACAGTAAAAAGGATCGAATTTAATACTACCTCTTGAAGGCTTAAAGAAGAAAAATAAAAGTCCAAATATTGTTTTAATACAAAATGCAAATACTTTTCCGTATAATATTTGAAACAATTAAGTCAATTATGATACATTGAAGAGATTCACTTTCGTGGTCCTCCTCTCGATACCGAAATAAAAGCGTTTGTTAAAATAAAAGAAAAAAAAATGGAGGGGGGAAGTAATAATCGCGATGATAATTTCAAGAGAAGTATTAGTAAACATTACTTGCAGATATATTTATAAAAGCATCAAAGTTTCATTTCTGTAGTTCCAGAAAGTCTGGTTCATTCATTTCAACCGTATTTCTTCCAGCTCTAAAAATATTTCATCAGTGCCTCCTTTTTCGATTTCCAAAGTTTTCTTTCCAAAGTTCTAATACGATCCTCTTTATTTGGGCACAACTCCTTTTCGTAATAAAGAATACCTATGCCAATTTCCTTTTCTTTTTAACACTGATCAACAACTGTCAATTGCAGAACTAATTTTGCTTTGAGAATATACTTTTTGATTAGCTGTGATATCTTCGAGTTCAGCGAATATTTTTCGATAATAAACTATTAGATTCTGTGGGAAATTCATTCTATATCATTTTAATTAATAAACTTAAAAAATACAGAATTTATTTTTCCATTTAAATGAAGTCCATCAAGCTAGCAAGAAAATACTTTTCTTCACGAATTTACAAAATTTCGGGTAATTTTTTTAAATGGAATAGAATATATTAGAGAAAGAAAATAATCTAACCAGTTATTGTGAAGCATGCGAGAATTCAGCAAGTGGGATAAATAAATGTAAAATGCATTACCAAATTTAACGAATAATGAGCGTAGTTTCACTTCGTTTGTTTTAGATTTTTCAAAGGAAGAAGACAGTTTTTACTTATGTCAGTGTCACTCTTCAATACTGAATTCGGTATTTTATGCAATAAAGTTAACAGTATTTTGCTATACTGGGTATGAACGAATTTTGTGGCAACTCCATATAACTTGCAAGCTGACAAATAAAACCGTCTTTTTCAAATAATGTACACTTGCACTGCTTTCGCACGTACGCATTGTGAAAATACATATAAGTATAGTATTTTTCTATGACGAAAATCTATTGTTTTGGTTAAAAACTAGTATTTTCATTTAAGTCTGGTAGTCATTAAAAGCGACCTGTGCCCTCTAAATGGTACACGGCACAAAAAAACCGTCACAAGAGTCTCCAGTTTGATCATTAATGGTAACCAGGATATCTTTAGTATTATGCATAAGAGAAATATCAAACAAAAGAAATAAAATTTTATACACCTAAGCAAAAGAATCTTTGGAAAATTATCATTTAAGCAGGGATGCATAAGTATACTTGCCGTTTTATATTATTTTTCATTACGAAAATAAGTTAAGCGCTTATAAATTTTTATTGAAAATGACACACAATTTTCCAGTTCTTCCCCTTCCAAAAAATATGTGATTGCAAAAGTTTTGAAAGGTTATAGAGACATAAGAACTCTTTAAGCAGGAAAGATGAAAAATGAGCAACCGCCTTCGCCAGGAATCTAACTACGGACCTCTGGAATACGCGCCCAGCATGCAGACCACTACACCACGAAGGCACGCCAAGAAGGTGGGAGAAATATCTTATAAGGTGAATGATTTCTTCAATGCATTATAGCATGTTTCGCATAAACATGGAAATAAAACACTTTTGCCTCCATCCCGAAAGTTACATTAAACAGCATACAAGTTATTTAACCAAATAATCATTTGAAAACTTTTCCAAAAGAGTCTTAAAAGTGTTTTGCAATCTTATCGGTACACTGTGATTTACATGAAAGTTTTAAACGTGAAAAAGTAATTAGTGATTGACTAAAAAGAAAAAAAAAAAAAAAAATAAATAAAAATAAAAATACTTTTGCTTTTAGCCTTCCTCTTCTAATACATGTATAATATTTACACATGTAGAGATTTTAAAAAGGAAAATGACATTCGTTTCATAGAATGCACTTTAATATTTTTCCGCACAGTTTTTATTTTAAGGCTACCAAAATAGTCTGCATCAACTTAATTATATTCTAATTAAAATTTGGAAGATATATTTATAGTAATAAAATAAGATCTACAAAAAGCTGGTAATTATAAAATATTTACGATTTGAGCGCTGAAATTTCTATATTCTTCCTCAGATCTGCTTCATTAATTTAATTTATCTTTTGTGCAATGCGGGAGCAAAATCTCCCAAATGTGTATAAAATGAGCAATCGTGAAAATATTTAGTGTCGTATGATTACCCCACACTCAATAGTTAAAAATGAGTCTTAAATGCAATTTTTTCTTTGAAAGAAAGTATTAAACTTCTGTAATAAAAACTGGATTTGAAAATAGGAATTATTTCACATTTAAAGTATGATATTCTTGTTCTTTTTTTTTAAGAACTGATTGCATATATTGCGTTAAGAAGAAAACATGATATTAAGCAAATAATTTAATCTCATTTCCCAGTAAAATTCATGTACCGTTCTGTATTTTCCCACCAGAACAGTAAAAAAAAAAAAAAAAATTCCGCACCTATAACCTACTTTACTGTTGTATTACATATGCCCCCCCCCATTGCCAAGGAATTCTTATCCAAAAAAAATCAAGGTGGAAGGGGGAGTGAGACAAGAGGGGAAAAAGTTTGAAACGGATTCTCTCACTTGGAACTTCTGGTGGAAGTAGAAACATTCCCACCCATAATACACGCATTCTCACTTCTGTTTTTCTTTCGAATGTGGATGAAAGAATTCTAACTTCCATCATCAGAAAGCCATCGATTCA